CAGAGTCAACGAGAAAGCCAGATTCGCTTAACAACCATGTTACGAACTTAACAATTGCAATGGTTCACTTAGCAACTGTGGCAAGATAGGTCATAAAATAGGGCACAACGTGGACACAATATTCGTCTTGCTTAGCAGATTGTTGCATGGTTTTTCACAGAGTTTTAAGTACTATTTACTATCAGCCTGGTAAACAGGAATGCAATTTATAAATTCACAAAATGGGTAAATCTTATATGTCCCAAAGGTGCTTTTTTAAGAGGCAATTGGACTTTCTGGTTTTTCTTTGAAGATGTTTTGCTTCTCATCCAAGAAGCTTCTTCAGCTCCAGAAAGTCCAGTTGACTCTTGAAAAAGCACCTTTGGGACAACCATGACCTGGATGACTGAGAATTTTCATTGACATCATCCTTCATATTTTCTGCAGAGGAGGTACTGAAGAACCATCTTTTTCATGGCGGTAGTTATTTCCTTGTTCCGGAGGGTATAAATAATGGGGTTGAGAAGGGGAAATATGATGGTATGGAAGACAGAGACCACTTTATCAGGTGCATATTCATCAAAAGGACGGGCGTAAATATAGATGGCAGGACCAAACATGAAAATGACAATGGTGATGTGAGAATAGCAGGTGGAGAGAGCCTTGCTAGCTGATTCACCCACATTCTTCTTTAGCACCGTGAGCAAGAAGGCGTAGGAAACCAAGAGTGCCACAAAGCAGACCACAGAAATCAGGCCACTGCTGAAGATCATGACCATCTCCTCCATGAAGGAATCAGTACAGGTGATCCTCAGCACTTGAGTGATATCACAGAAATAATTGTCCAGTTCATTGGGCCCACAGAACGGGAGGCGGATAATTAGCATAACCTGGATGAAGGAATGGATAAAACCTCCAATCCAGGAAGCCACCACTAATATGTTGCAAAGTCTTCGGGTCATCTGGACTGAGTAATACAAAGGCTTGCAGATGGCGACATAGCGATCGTAGGCCATGACGGTGAGCAGAAACATCTCTGCAGCCCCCACAAAATGGAGGAAGAAAAGTTGAGCAATGCAGCCCCCGAAAGAAATGACTTTGCGCTCAGCGAAGAAGTCAACCAACATCTTGGGTGCAGTGATGGAGGAATACCAGATGTCCAAAAAAGCCAGGTTGGCTAACAGAAAATACATGGGGGAGTTGAGATGTGCATCTCCTCGAATGGTAATAATGATCAGCACATTGCTTGGTAAGACAATGAGGTAAAAGATGAGGAAGAGAGCAAAGAGAAAGAGTTGGATGTCACGTTCATGAGATAAACCTGTCAGTATGAACTCAGTCACGTAAGAACTGTTCTTCACTCCCATAGATGGTGGGTGAGATGGGGCAGAAGGTGCCTCTAGCATTACAGATTCAACCACTCTTGTTCCAGTGTTCATTTTCTGGATACAAAAGAAAAATGGAGCAGGGAAAAGTGAAGAAATGGTGGGGAAAAGAGTGGGAAATAAGAAACAGATCAACTGAATTAATAAGTCAAAGGACTGACATAAAGTAAGGACAGAATTATTCACATATTTCTCCAATAATTTTACCTTCCACTACTTTAGGTAAGGTACACTCACTAGAAGATGGGAAACATTTACTGAAATAAAGGGAGAGAGAAAAACCCCAAAACAAACAGAAACATTGGAAAAGGAGGGGAAGAAAAAAAGAGAAAAGGACAATATTATAGAACATTGTAAGCAGTTCAGTTTTTAAACATTGCATTAAACATTGATGACAGGCTAGAATTGTGACAATTTCCTCCCCCCCCCATTATATTTAAAGTTCTCATTATATTTGCAATTCTATGGCCTTCTGATTTAAATTTATATAATACCGTCATAGAATAAGGCAATTATTTCATGGGGAGGGTTTAGAGTTGGGAAATAAACAAATACAGCACTTATTTTTAATCCAGATATTAATCTAATTTAATTTAATATAGATATTAATCTATAGAATGAAAAAAATAATGGCAAAATCTTATATCTTTGGTTTTCATCATGAAAAACCATTTCATGCTGAGGTATTCCAACTTTTTATTCTAAAATTCTTACCATTAATGGCTACTTTTAACTGTAACCATTAAGCCACTTTTTAAAATAAAAAATCCTGAATATTTAGGCCATTATTTCTTCTACTCAAAGCCTCCTTCGTAGATGAAATACTGTGGTAAATGAAATGATTTTCCAAAATTATAATGGAGGTAAGGTGATTTGCCTCTTTCTTAGTCTTTTCTTTCCCCTTTGCAAAAGGATGCTAGCAGGACTAAAATTTTACATGCAAAAGTTTTCTGAGTCTTTGATTCCTTTAATTAATAACATAACAAAATCTTGCAAAGAGATGCTGGATAACCTCACCCACCAGGAGAAGACAGAAAAATTATCTCAGTTCATACTGAGAAAAATTCAAACATTTTCACTGCAACCTGGTATTTCTTCCTTTTGAAACTATAATACTCATGATGCCACAACATGTATTGCTGTAGTTGCTGTAGTTTTTTAAAAAATCCTCCTATCTCTCTCAGTATCTTTTTTTGCTATGTTACTGATATCCCAATAACTCTTGATTTATTCTTAAATCAGACATCTAGTCCAAAACCAGGAGCCATTTTTTCTAAATTTATTTATTTTGTCTGAAATGTTATATCTGGAAATGTCCTTAATTTTGATTCCTAATGATCTTTTTATTATTACCTTTATTGATAACTTATATATTTCTCATACTATGTTCAACTTACCCCCACACATACTTTCTTCTTCAAGGCAAAATTCCCATTACTGATTTAAAGATGCTAGAAGAAAAATTCAAAATTAAATAATAGCATGATGGTTCTATTAGGTAGCTGTGGAAATGCAACTTTTAAAGCCAGTTATTTCCTACTGCATGCAAGGAACAGTCTCTGTGAGGTAAACTGCTATCAGAAAATAAAGGAGTATCTGATATCAATGGATAATTTGATGTCACAAATCCATTTATTGTGATTAACAAAGCTTTAATAATACATACCAGCAACAAAGTTGAAGAGCAACTCCTTTCTACCAACAAAGGATCTGCTGCTCTTGGAGGATCATCTTCTCAACAACATATAGATTGAGCTATAAAATTCAACAACATAATAGCTGAAGGATCTGGGATCAGGCAACACTTAAGGAATCACAGTACACAACTAAAAGATAGGTGAATTCTGTGGGGAATCATTAAAAGTGCAACTTGCCTCTTTCCCTTGAGGGATGAAGAAGACAAAATTTTAAGGATGTCCCCAGATAAGTCTAAAGGTTATACTCATAGCTGAACAATATGAAGGGTCTGTGAACAATATGCTGAGATTAAAAGACATTGATGTGTTGTTCCTTGTTGTCTGTTGACAGAAATTTGTCCAGAATTCTATAGGGACTTCCGATTGAACAGGAGGTTGGACTAGGAATCCTTCATGGTCCTTTCCAACTCTGTTAATCTGTTATTTTGTCATGGTAACCATACAAATACCATGCCGCAAGGGAAAGTTCAGGAGCAAAGCCGAAAATATCCTTGACCAGTCCTAACCTTGGAAAAACCAAAATGACCTTTCTCAGACTGAAGTCCTTAGTGGGAAAGTTATAGGACCACAAACAATTTTTTCATGTTTATATTTTTATGGCCTTGAAGGAAGTGTTCCACTCTCAGCTTCACTTTCCAGTTTTAGGGATCCAGATAAAAAGGGACTAGAAAAGGAAGGAAGAAAGACTATTTGCACGAGAAGCTAGAAAACAGCTCCTGATTTGAGTTGGCAATAATAGATAAAGACTTGCAACTATTCCCTTCAAAACTATGAAGGGAATAGTTGCAAGTCTACATCTACATCTACATCTCTTATATTTAACTGTTGTTTTAGGAAGGAATTAGGTAATCTGTAAAACAAAGCCCTGGATTCTAGCACCATATTTGGAAGCAAGAACAGTACTAAGGGCCTTATACAATATATAAGGGTTTTTCAGGGGTGGTTTATCATTGTCTTCTTTTTAGTGCTGAGAGAAAGTGTCTGGCCCAAGGTCACCCAGATGGCCTCAAGTGGGTCTAGGACTTGTGGTCTCCTGGTGTCTAGCCTGATGCCCTAACCATTACACCCTCTTTCCTTCCAATTATAGAAAAGGGCAAATGTGGGGCCTCAAGTGTATTGGTTTGAAAAAGACTAAATAAATACATGTATATAACTCTGTAAGCCAAATGTATTTCTTCCCTGCCTCTGGATTTGTGAGAAAGTAACTCATTTCAGTGACAATTAAGAAGAGAGCAGGGACAATATACACCCTTCTTTTCTAATAATGCTGCATCTATACTCAATCATAAGCTTTCCTTATAGGTAGAGAATCATGTTAGCTTGAGGTGTCAAAAAAAATCAGGGTCTGGTAACAGGTTTTCTGACTAGAAAAGCAAACACTTTGATAAGCAGCAGCTCCCTTGATTTGGTGCATAGGATGTCTACATCACAGATTCTTAACTTGGCAACTTTAAGACATGTGAATGTCAATTCCCAGAATTCTCCAACCAGCCATGCTGGAAAATGGAATGGAACTTCCACAGCTTATAACACTTCTTGCTCACTTTACTGGCAAATAGAAAATAATTTAAATGGATCCCAATGACTTTTCATGCAGTGGAAGTACAAGTATTGGCTGTTAACACTCCCATGATCTATATCTACCATGTTTCCTCAAAAATAAGACTGGCTCTTATATTAATTTTCGCTCCAAAAGACACATTAGGGCTTAATTTCTGGTTAGGTCTTAATTTGGGGAAAATATGGTACTAAATGCATCCATCTGGCTGACAATCTTATCTGGGGCTTATTTTGGGAGGGGCAGGGCTTATATTATGAGCATCCTGAAAAATCATGCTAGGGCTTATTTTCTGGTTGGGTCTTATTTTGGGGAAAACAGGTTGTCATTCATTTCATTTTAATCAAAGTGATTGGACTTTCTTGAATGAAAAGGACATGTCTAGAGACATAGAGTAAATTTTCCTTGTCTTCCCTTGAGCTTTTCCAAAGCCACTTTGAAAACTTGGTTCCTCAGGGTATAAATGAAGGGATTCAGGACAGGTGTGGTGACTGTGTAGAGAACAGAAGCTGCTTTATCCAATGGAAAGCTGTAGAAGGGATGGGGATAAATATAGATGCAAGGACCAAAACTCAAGGTTACTATCATGATATGAGATGTACAAGTCGAGTTAGCCTTGATCTGGCCTGGAGAAAATTCTGTCTTGAGCTGAGTATCCCTGAGAGAAAGGGATGCCCAAGCTAGTGTTACCTTAGACATGGCAGCCAATAGGGTGACTTTGACCCAATTAGGAAGGAAATAGCAAATGACTTCTGAGAACATTGTCAAAAAAAACACTACGGACTTGCCCATGTAGTTCCCAGGAGTCAAAACTGATTTGAGGCATATATTCATACACGGACACCAGTGGTGACATTCAATTTTTTTAACTACCAGTTCTGTGGGCATGGCTTTGTGGGCATGGTGTGGCTTGGTGGGCATAGCAGGGGAAGGATACTGCAAAATTGCTTAACACATTGTAAGCCGCCCTGAGTCTCCGGAGAAGGGCGGCATATACAGTCAGGTCCAGAAATATTGGGACATCGACACAATTCTAACATCTTTGGCTCTATACACCACCACAATGGAGTTGGAATGAAACAAACACAATGTGCTTTAACTGCAGACTGTCAGCTTTAATTTGAGGGTATGTACATCCAACTCAGGTGAACGGTGTAGGACTTACAGCAGTTTGTATATGTGCCTCCCACTTGTTAAGGGACCAAAAGTAATGGGACAATTGGCTTCTCAGCTGTTCCATGGCCATGTGTGTGATATTCCCTCATTACCCCAATTACAATGTGCAGATAAAAGGCCCAGAGTTCATTTCAAGTGTGCTATTTGCATTTGGAATCTGTTGTTGTCAACTCTCAAGATAAGATCCAAAGAGCTGTCACTATCAGTGAAGCAAGCCATCATTAGGCTGAAGAAACAAAACAAACCCATCAGAGAGATAGCAAGAACATTAGGCGTGGCCAAAACAACTGTTTGAAACATTCTCAAAAAGAAGGAATGCACCGGTGAGCTCAGCAACACCAAAAGACCCGGGAGACCACGGAAAACAAATGTGGTGGATGACCGAAGAATTCTTTCCCTGGTGAAGAAAACACCCTTTACAACAGTTGGCCAGATCAAGAACACTCTACAGGAGGTAGGTGTATGTGTGTCAAAGTCAACAATCAAGAGAAGACTTCACCAGAGTGAATACAGAGGGTTCACCACAAGATGTAAACCATTGGTGAGCCTCAAAAACAGGAAGGCCAGATTAGAGTTTGCCAAACAACATCTAACAAAGCCTTCACAGTTCTGGAACAAGAACAGATGAGACCAAGATCAACTTGTACCAGAGTGATGGGAAGAGAAGAATATGGAGAAGGAAAGGAACTGCTCATGATCCTAAGCATACCACCTCATCAGTGAAGCATGGTGGTGGCAGTGTCATGGCGTGGGCATTTATGGCTGCCAATGGAACTGGTTCTCTTGTATTTATTGATGATGTGACTGCTGACAAAAGCAGCAGGATGAATTCTGAAGTGTTTCGGGCAATATTATCTGCTCACATTCAGCCAAATGATGCAGAACTCATTGGACAGCGCTTCACAGTGCAGATGGACAATGACCCAAAGCATACTGCAAAAGCAACCAAAGAGTTTTTGAAGGGACAGAAGTGGAATGTTATGCAATGGCCAAGTCTATCACCTGACTTGAATCCCATTGAGCATGCATTTTACTTGCTGAAGACAAAACTGAAGGGAAAATGCCCCAAGAACAAGCAGGAACTGAAGACAGTTGCAGTAGAGGCCTGGCAGAGCATCACCAGGGATGAAACCCACTGTCTGGTGATGTCTATGTGTTCCAGACTTCAGGCTGTGATTGACTGCAAAGGATTTGCAACCAAGTATTAAGAAGGGAAAGTTTGATTTATGATTATTATTCTGTCCCATTACTTTTGGTCCCTTAACAAGTGGGAGGCACATATGCAAACTGCTGTAAATCCTACGCCGTTCACCTGAGTTGGATGTACATACCCTTAAATTAAAGCTGACAGTCTGCAGTTAAAGCACATTGTGTTTGTTTCATTCCAACTCCATTGTGGTGGTGTATAGAGCCAAAGATGTTAGAATTGTGTCAATGTCCCAATATTTCTGGACCTGACTGTAAATCAAATTAAAAAAAAAATCTCTATTTTCACCCCACTCCAGGGGGAGGATACTGCAAAATCCCCATTCCCACCCCACTCAAGGGCCAGCCAGAGGTGGTATTTGCCGGTTCTCTGAACTACTCAAAATTTCCGCTACCGGTTCTCCAGAACCTGTCAAAACCTGCTGGATTTCACCCCTGATGTACACAGACACATACAACACACAAACAACTTCAGAGTGTCATGAGGAACAGGACCTTTTGGGAATGGCCCCATAGTTATGGAATGACTTTCCAAAGAAATTATCCTTGGCATCTAGGGTGAAGCATCTTCTGAAAGGTCTGTTAGAGTCAAAGATTCAGATATTGCATGATAACCCACTTCATGGATTTGAAGTCTCTTCTTGTCCCAAAGGTGCTTTTTCTAGAGGCAACTGGACTTTCTGATTTTTCTTTGAAGATGTTTTGCTTCTCATCCAAGAAGCTTCTTCAGCTCTGACTGGATGGTGGGGAATGGAAGGATTTATACTCCTTGCAAATGACAGCTGGTCATTTGCATTCTTTTAGTGAGTCCTTAAGGTCGCCTGGAGGTTTACCAGTGTTATCAGGGTCACCTGAGCAAATGGGTGTGTAACAGGGATGAAATCCAGCAGGTTCTAATAGGTTCTGGAGAACCAGTAGTGGAAATTTTGAGTAGTTCGGAGAACCAGCAAATGCCACCTCTGGCAGAGTAGGGTGGGAAAGGAGATTTTGCAATATCCTTCCCCCAGGAGTGGGGAGGGAATGGAAATTTTGCAATATCCTTCCCCTGCCATGCCCACCAAGCCATGCCCACAGAACCGGTAGGGAAAAATTTTGAATTTCACCCCTGGTATGGAGCCTTCTTGGAACTGTGCTGTAGGACTGAAGAAACTTCTTGGATGAGAAGCAAAACGTCTTCAAAGAAAAACCCGAAAGTCCAGTTGCCTCTTGAAAAAGCATCTTTGGGACAACCATGACCTGGATGACTGAAAGTCTACATAGACAATAAGTCTTTTCTTGGTATTCCAAAGCAAAATGTTAACATAGAATTAAAAAAGAATAATAGAATTGGAAGGAACATTGGAGGTCATCTAAAATCCAACCCCCTGCTCAAGCAGGACCACCTATACCATGGGTATCAAACTCAATCATGTCACGTGACATATTGTGACGTATCACAACATTTGTTTGCTTTTGTGGAGCTGGGGTGGGTGTGGCCTGTGCATGATGCATCTGCCCCTGGGCCACCAGTCCGACAGGCCTGACCTATACCAATTCAAACAAACGGTTGTCTAGTCTCTTTTTGAAAGCCTGCAGTATTGGAGCACCCACAATTTCTGAAGGCCATTCCATTAGTTGATTTCTCTTACTATTAGGAAATTTTTCCTTAGTTCTAGGTTGCTACTTTCTTTGGTTAGTTTCCATCTATTGTTTTTTGCCTTGCCTTCTGGTGGTTTGGAAAATAGTTTGACCTGCTTGTCTTTGCAGGAGCACTTCCACTTTATTTATTTATTTATTTTATTTATTTATCAAATTTCTATACCGCCCTACTCCCGGAGGACTCAGGGCAGTGAACAGCCAAGATAAAATACAGATATTACAAACATTAAAAGTCCATTAAAATTATTAAATATTTTGGCCAAAAAACAAATTAAAACACCCAATTTATAAAACAAATCAAATGATTTAAAAAATTTAAAAGGGAGAGTTAGGCCATGCCAGCCTGCTGAAATAAGAAAGTTTTGAGAGCATGACGAAACGTGCGCAGATCCGGGATCCTCCGTATCTCTGTGGGGAGCTCGTTCCAAATATTGGAACATTGCTATCACATCTCCCCTAGCCCTTCTTTTCACTAGACTAGACGTATAAAATTCCTGCAACTGTTCTTTGTATGTTTTAGCCTCCACCCCTGTAATCATCTTTGTTGCCCTTCTCTGCACTCTTTCCACAATTTCAACAACTTTTTTATATTGTGGTGACCATTACAGGATGCAGTATTCCAAGTATGGTCTTATTAAGGCTTTACAAAATAGTATTAGAACTTCACATGATTTTGATTCTATTCCTCTATTAATGCAGCCTCGGATTGCCAGGAAATGTACGTGAAGAAATGAATATTACACTTTTTTTAAAAAATTTTTTATTAATTTAAGAAACCACATAATACATTTGTAAATGCAAGTAAAACAATTTACAACAAACATCATCTTTATAACATCTACCTATAATATCCGAATTGTTACAATATCAATATCCTATATTCTTCAATATACAATATTTCTCTCACCTTATATAATGATATTATTTTATTGATATCTCGTGTCTCTTTCTTAAATTTCATTTGATTTAAAACTTTATTTTACTCTATTGATATCTTTTCTTTTATTCAATTTCTCTTTCTTTCTTCTTCTCTTCTTTTTTCACTTCCCTCTAACCATTTATACCATTTTTGCCAGACTAAATAATATTCAGATTCTTCTTTTCCTTGGATCTCCTTGGTAAGTTTATCCATCTCAGCGCATTCCATAATTTTGGATATTAATTTCTCTTGAGTCGGGACCTCTTCTTGTTTCCAATTTTGTGCGTATATAATTCTTGCTGCAGTCAAAATGTGTGTTATTAAATATATTATTTCTTTTTCATATTTGCTTGTAGGTATTCCTAATAAATAAGTTTCTGGCTTTAATGGCACCTTTTGAGTTATTATTTGTTCTAGTTGCATTTTTATATTGTTCCAGAATTTTTTAGCTTTGGAACATGACCACCATATATGATAATATGTCCCTTTATGCGCTTTACATTTCCAACAGAGTGGAGATGTGCCAGGAAACATTTTAGAAATTCGCGCTGGTGGTAGATGCCACCTATAGAACAATTTATAAGCATTTTCTTTGTATGGTACAAATAGATAATATTACACATTTAAGTAAAGATAAATGATACTGTTTTATTGAATAATTGTTATTAAGATATCATTTGTAACACCTAGATAATTCTACATACATATCAATATTGTGATTAAATAAAATATATTTTAGAAATTGTGGTGACTTCTAGCAAACAGTTTGCTCATGATTAATTTCTAATGCCCCAAGGAGGAAAAATACTTCTAAAAACCCTGAATCTGCTCCATCTGAGGGAGTCCAGGAGAGTCTGGGTTTGTTGTTTATTTGTTTGTTTGTTTATTAAATTTTTATGCCACCCATCTACCCTGTAAGGTGACTCAGGACAGGTTCTAAAACAAATAGAAAAATAATAAAAATATTAAAGCATTAAAATTGTACAGATTAAGATTTTAAAAACTGTATGGGTTGCCATATCTGCATATTTATTTGCATCAAGAAATACTCACCTGCAGTATTCAGAAAAGATAACAAAAAAGAGCCATCAGCCCTGCCCTGCCCTGCCCAAGAATTTGTTGTCCAATTCCTCATATTTTCTTCTGTGGTGCAACAACAGGAAAAATGTATTTTTTCTGTACTTGGCTCATAGCCTCCCTCATATCTCGATTTCTTAAGGTATATATGATAGGGTTGAGAAGAGGAGTGATTATTGTGTAGAATATGGAAGCCAGCTTGTCTACACTGGTACTAAACAGGGGGACAAGGTACACAAAGAGACATGGTACAAAAATGAGGCAAACTACTGTTAAATGAGAGCTGCAGGTGTACAGAGCCTTCCCTCCACTCTCTCTGAAATGTCCTTGAAGTGTGGTCAAGATGATGGCATATGAGATCAGCAAGATAATGAAGCACACCAGAGACAGCAGACCACTATTGGCCACCATGAGTATCTCAGTCACTCGAATATCTACACAAGCCAGTTTAACAATCTGTGGAACATCACAAAAGAAATTGTCCACTTCATTTGGCCCACAGAATGGCAATCGCAGAACTAAGAACACCTGGCTGCCAGAGTGAAGGAGTCCTCCAGCCCAACAGAAACACAACAGTCTAATGCAGCATGGACGGTTCATTGTGGTTGTGTATGTCAGTGGGTGGCAAATGGCCACATAGCGATCATAGGCCATGAGGGTAAGGAGGAGCATCTCTGAACCTCCAAGGAAGTGTAGGAAAAAGATCTGGGACATACAGCCCGCAAATGAGATGGTCCTGCTATAGGTGATCAGGTCTGTTGCGACCTTGGGAACAACCACTGAACCCAAAGCAGTATCGATGATGGATAAATTAGCTAAGAAAAAATACATGGGTGACTTCAGAAGGTGTGGATCTATATACACTGTCAATATTATGAGAATGTTACCCAACAGCGTGGCAGCATAACATAGCACGACCAAGACAGATAGAAGGAGTTGGATGGGTCGAGATCTGGAAAGACCCAAGAAGGTGAATTCAGCAACTCTGGAGGCATTCATGAAGGTGACAGGACCTTGCAAGAGAAACAAGAGTAGTTACAACTTTCAGCACCTTCTCTTATTAGTTTATTGATAGAATAGAATAGAATAGATTTTTTTATTAGCCAAGTGTGATTGGACACACAAGGATTTTGTCTTGGTGCATATGCTCTCAGTGTACATAAAAGAAAATATACGTTCATCAAGAATCATAAGATATAACACTTAATGATAGTCATAGGGTACAAATAAGCGATCAAATCATATTAGGAAACAGTCAATATAAATCAGAAGGACATGGGTGATGGGAACGATGAAATTAATAGTAGTGCAGACTTAATAAATAGTTTGACAGTGTTGATAACATGGATCAATGAAAAATTAGAAATAAAATGAACCCATGATGACACATAGTGCAAAGAGAAGCAATGTTAACTTTAATATCTATTACAAGTCACCTTCCAGAATGCCTTTCACATGTCTACCTCAAGCCAGTTCATAGAAACTTGAGTTTTCATGGGCGAGTAGATGCTTTGCAATCTTTGGAAGGCTACCAATTCCCCACTGAGAAAGAAGCCAGAACTTCCACTAAATCTGAAAGCAGATTCTAAATTTTGCTCCCATCCAGTATAGATTAATTTATTCACTAATGTATTCCATTTTCATAATGGGAGAATTAAAACGAATCATTTCACATGCAGCTCATGAAGCAGAATGTTTTTCTGGAGAGATCACAGATAATCTCACTTCAGTAGCTTCTCAAACACAGAATAAATAGATATCTCCTGAATCTTTCCCACCAGTACTTCAGAGATCTCCAGATGTTTAAAAAATTAATAGTACTAATGACAGCAGTAGATCTAAGAAGCAGAGAAATCTAGCATAGAAAGGAACCATTCACCATCAAGTAAAAGCATCCTACAATTGCCCAGCTAAGGATGACAAGAAATGACTTTCCTATCTAACCAAAGTCCATCTAAGGTATCATTCTTTGCAAGAATCACTTGATTCTGAAGCTCTATGGAAAGTACTGAGTGGAAGTTAGATCCTCATTCTGCTTTTTTTCTAACCCATTTCTTGGAATTTTTCAAGGGGAAAATATAACACTTTAAATAGATCATGTCTGCTGATCTGGAATTAACTCCCACTGGAAAAATAAAGCCTTAGATATAAGTCCATGTGTGTAGCATACATAGTTCTAGATGATCAGATATTCATCTGACTTTTGACTTAATCCTGAAAACTCGATCCTGTATCAAATCTGATACTTCTGATCAGGAGACAAATAGAAGTACAAGAGTCAAGGTTTATTTACTCACTCATTGTAGCAAATCATTTTCAGAATCTTGAAAAATGTGTATGGCGATCTGATCTGAATGATCAGAAGTCAGCAAATTGTGTTGGGAGAATTATGCACCAGCTAAGTAGGTGTGTAGCTGAAGTCTGCTAGAAAATCTCTCTCCCCACCCCCTCTCTATCTATCTCTCTATCTCTCTATCTCTGTTATGTTTAGATTTGCCTTCTCTTTTCTTCCTTGGGGTAGCTACTTACTTGCTTTCTTGCTTTTAAAACTGCACTGGATTTTAACTCAATAAATTCCTATGATATTAGAATAAAAGCAACTAGCACAGAAGGAACAGAATACTCATTATCATCCTATGCATTCCACCAAGTAATATAGGGCACATATGACATGTGTGTGTGGAGAGAGAGAGAGAGAGAGGGAGGGAGGGGGAGGGAGGGAGGGAGGGAGAGAAAGAGAGAGAGAGAGAGAGAGAGAGAGAGAGAGAGAGAGAGAGAGAGAATAAACTAACACTGTTTTATAGCTATTCTATAGGAGATGGCCAGCCTGAGCCTGAGGGAAGGGTGAAACACATCATCAGTCATGAGTCCCTGCACACCCACAAGAGATCTAAGTCCGGCCCACCCTGAATTCATTTCTATTCTTAACTCCTGCTAATTTCCCTTGACCGTTAGTAGTTTAGATTCTTGTAGAGTTCTTAAGCTTGCAATAAACCTTTAAACTCATTTGAACTGTCTGAATCTTCTGATTTCCCTAGCACCTGACATATCCCCCCCCCAAAAATGGATAAAACAATGCATTGGTATCCCACTCTAAGGTCTCTAGCAAAGTCCACCTTTAAACCATCCAATTTTCAGGGTCACTAACTGTCCATGACTTCTATCTCAGACATCATCTCAGCTCTAATTCCCAAGATGTATTGTTAACCTGTCCTATAGCATCTTTAGAATTGTGGTCCCTTAAGGGAATAAGGAAATAATAAAGGATAAAGGAAAGTTTAAGAGGGAAATCATAAATAAAGAATAAAAGGAGTGTTTCTGAACAATGATTTCAGATGCTTGTGTAACACGTAGCCCTCCATCTCACCATAATGGCAAGAAACTGATGAATCAAGATAACAAAAGTGCAGAAATGGAACTTATACAAATCCTTGTTCACAAAATTTCTGAAACCCCCTTCCCAAAACAGACAAGGTCTTCACTGCACATCAAAGCAACTCCAAATTAAATTGGAACTAGTAGCCCTGCTTTGTTCAGGACTAACCTACCTTCTACAAAGTTACTTTCTTTCTGAAACCAAGTGGGAGAATCTCACATTATCTGTTCATTCTAGTTGCTTAGAGAGACCTCCAAGTTGCAATAAAGATCACACCCACAGATGAGTTTCTAGAGAAGCCTACTATGATTACCTTATTTTTCTCTCTTTGGAAAATCAAGGACAAGTGTGACAAGGGAATGGCTCCTGCTTCTCCTGCCTCTACCACCGCAAGCAACACATAAGAAATATTTCAGTGGCCTCTTATTAAACCTTGGGAAAGTCAGTCTTTTGAGGCCCTTCCCTGGTCCCTGATCAAAATCAGATAATTGCAAAAGCAAAAGGAGATATTGCTGCAGGAAAGAGAGCAGACAGAAATATGGATTTTTTGTTTTGATGTGCTCCTAGGTACAACCAGCTGAATGACATTGTGGTTTGGGACAATGAGAGTTAGTGTGGGACAGTGATTCAAGGGCTTGACTGGCAGTTGAGAGACCCAGGTTCTAGTTTATACTTAGCAGTGGAAGCTCATTAAGTCTCTGGACAAGTCACTCTTTCTCAGTCCATCCTACTTAGCAAGGTTCTTGTACCTTGGGTGAAAAAATAGGAAGAGGAAGCAATATAAATGGGATACAAATATAGATGGGATACAAATCAAATAAATAAAGGATGAGTTCCTGTTGTGTCCTATACTGAACATAGAAATATAGTGGTTAAGTACATGTAGTTCTCAACTTATGACTGGTCATTTATGATGGACCCCCAAGAGGCGTCTACAACACATATTTAAAGTTCAAATGACCTTTGTTGGTTTCTTCCACCCTCCCCCCACACAAAGTTATATGATTGCTTTTTGTGTGTTTGTCAACTGACCCACATTTACAACAGTTTGCAATATCCTGTGGTTAGATGATTGTGATTTACCGTATTTTTTGGAGTATGAGACGCACCTTTTCCACCTAAAAAAGTGGGTGAAAATCTGGGTGCGTCTTATACTCTGAATGTAGCCCCCACAGCCTCTGAAAGAGCTTGGTACTACAGTGGTACTACAGAGCCTTGGTACTACAGTGGTTTAAAGCACCCTGTTATTAACACAGCTGCCTGCAATTTACTGCTGGTTCGAATCTCTCCAAGGCTCAAGGTTGACTCAGCCTTCCATCCTTTCTAAGGTAGGTTAAATGAGGACCCAGTTTGTGGGGGCAATAAGCTGACTTTGTATAAATATACAAAAGTATGAAGGCTATTGCTGAACGCACTGTAAGCCGCCCTGAGTCTCCGGAGAAGGGCGGCATATAAATCAAATTAAAAAAAAAAATGGAGGTTTCAGAGGTTGAAAAAAGCCAATGAAACAGAGCTTCAGGAAAAAAAGCCTCTGAAATGAAGCTTCAGAAAAAAAGCCTCTGAAATGAAGCTTCAGAAAAAAAGCCTCTGAAATGAAGCTTCAGAAAAAAAGCCTCTGAAATGAAGCTTCAGAAAAAAAGCCTCTGAAACGAAGCTTCAGAAAAAAAGCCTCTGAAACGGAGGCTTCAGAGGCTGAAAAAAAGGCATAGAGCTCACAACCAATGAACTTGTTGCTAAAATTCACCTCTGGGAACAGCTGATTGAGGGTATTCTGGGAGGCTGATTAGAAAAAAATCAGCTTTTTTATTATTTTCCTCCCCAAAAACTAAGGTGCGTCTTATACTCCAGTGCGTCTTACAGTCCAAAAAATACGGTATGTTTATTGCCAGAAACAAGTACTTAATTCTGGTTTCTGGCACAAAAATGCCCATTGAAGACAATGACTTCACTTTATAATTTTGGCATCACTTAACAACTGCCACAAAAATGTTGTAAAATTGGGTCAGACTCCCAAATAACCAGACTCTAAGTCATGTAGGGCTTCGCTGGTCATAAGAAGAGCCATAAGAAACTAGCAAGACAGTGCAGTTCACAAAGCAAAGGCATGCCTACCATTGACAACTTGTGGGTGTCTTAACTTTTGACCATCATGACATATAACAGAAATCCCAGGCTCCATTATAGTTGTAAGTTGAGACCTACCTGTAGTTAGACCTTAGAAAGTCTTGCTCATGGAGTTCTGAAATGAGAAGGTAATGTTGAATATTGACCTCCATCCTGCTCAAGAAGCATACTTAATAGGAATGTGTCACCATTTTGACTGGTTTGTGTTTGTGTTAATACTTGGGCTTCATTTCAAAGGAAAATCAAAATGGAAGTCCATTACTGCAAATTACATTTATTGGTATGTTTTTATATGGATTGTATATACGTATATCTATTTATTATATTTGAGCCACCCAAGTCAAGCAAAGTTAGGCTTAGAGGAGGACAACTATTTTATTTTATTTATTTATTTTATTTTATTGAATTTCTATACCGCCCTACTCCCGAAGGACTCAGGGCGGTGAACAGCCATAAAATAAAACACATACATATACAAAATTTAAAATCGAATAAAATG